GTGGACTTCAACTCCCAGAATTCTCCAGCCAGGCTGGAGAATTCTGGGAGTTGAAGTCCACAAGTCTTAAAGTTGCCAAGTTTGGGAACCACTGCTTTAACATAATGGTGTCTAGGAAGTTGCAGATTGTTTACTAGTGATATTTTAATACTTATAGTGGGCCTTCGATTGTACTTTTCTTTTTGATCTTTTTTAATGCTTATCTAAATTTGAGGAGGCTAGAAATACGGCCAAATCAAAGAGTTAATCAGTGTAGCATTCATTACAAAACTGATTCTCTTAGCTTCCCGTAAAGCTTTCCCCACAAGCGTTAGGAGAAGATTAGGTGGCACATTAACACTGACGTCAGATCGTAACTGTTTTTAATGTTTTATGTTTTAACTGGTTGTGGGTTTTTTTTTTATAGCTTTAAAATGATTTTTGATTTCTTTTTCATCTTCGGTTGGAGCCTCCCAGAGTTGGCTGAAAGATGGGTGGCTATAAAAATGCTTTCAATGAGCAGATAAGACTGATGTTGTGGACCAACAACAATGCAGTTGTGTGCGTGCTTTTGTTTATAAGGCCCATGTTTCTCTAGAAACATACATAAGAGAAGTCATCAATGTATATTGGAGATCCTATGCAGGATTGCCACCTCTCGATAAATGCCTTTGAAGGAAAGGAAAGCATTTAGGCATTCCACCCATAATCCTAATGACAGTCATATATTGCAGCATTAGCTTAATAGGCAGCATCAACCTCATTAGGGACCTAACCCTCCCTCGGCTACAGGTGGGTTGAACCAGATGTCATTAGTAATATTATTCCCGCCTTCCTTAATAATGGCTCCAGTGGGCTATTGTGTTTAAGTGATCTCATCGCAAGACCCCTCCTGGGACCATGACGAACACGATGTCAGGAAACAGACGATTCCTCTCCACTCAATTTAAGTGGAGAGGATAGATTGAAGCTACCAAATGGAGCGCTTTAAGTGATGAGGAAGAGAACGCAAGAAGGACTTTTCAAGCCTGAGTGCACAGGATCACAGCTGTGGCCAACATGATTTCGACAATCCAGGCAGGCGGCTGCTTTTAATAAGTCTCGAATACTTTTAGGGGAAGGAGGTCAAAAGTGTGCTACTAAAGGCAACGACATCAAGAAGCGTGATCTTTTCAGGAAACCGGGCAAAAGTAATGCGGGGTTGACATTTAGGAGATTATCTGACGGAGACTCAAAGGAATAAGTAATTTTCACCTAAAGGTAGCGCGGAAGATACATCACTGCAACAAGGGTGATATTTAATTCCCCACCTTCCTCGACTCAATTATTCTAGATACTTTAGGGCAGGCATGTCCAAAGTCTGGCCCGGGAGCCAAATCAGCCCATTTTCAAATTTCGAGTGGTCTGCAGCCTCTTCTTCCCAGCCGAGTTATTTGTTTAGAGCCGAGGTGGCGCAGTGGTTAAATGCAGCACTGCAGGCTACTTCAGCTGACTGCAGTTCTGCAGTTCGGCTGTTCAAATCTCACCGGCNTTGGACTAGAAGACCTCCAAGGTCCCTTCCAACTCTGCAATACAATTGTATTGTATTATATCTGGTAACATTTCCAGCATTTAACTGATTTGTCCTTGAACATCTTCACCAATCTTGCTGGTGGCAAGTGCCATCTATAAAACATCTCATACAAATTCTCCTTATATTGTGGTTGAGAAACTCAAAGAATTGATGGAGATGTTGCTTCCTCTTGTTTTATTCTCCTTCTTCACAGATGTTTTGTTTCCACTTAGAATCCATTTTCTACCTTCCAGGGAGTTGTTAAGTCAGGAAGAGCCATATACAAACCTTCTAAATAAAATGACTCATATTTATGACGGTTGCAGTGTCCCAGGGTAGGGCGATCCCCTTTTGCGACCTTCTGACGAGCAACGGGGGAGCCAAATTCACTTTATAAAAAAGTGTTACCAAATTTAACAACTGCAATTTGTTAACAACAGGCAGGAAAAGTCATAAAACGGAGGGGGGGGGGGGAAATCACTTAATAAATATCTCACTTAACAACAAAAGTTTTGGACTCAATTGTGGCCATAAGTTGAGGACTACCTGTATTGACCTTTCTTTAATCAAAAGAGTCAATGTCTCCATCTGGGCAAGTCCTGTGAATTTCACTGACCATGAGCTGAATCTTCCCATTTTCCACTCAAGTATTTTGAATCTCCCTCTCCGTCTTGAATTGTACTTCTTTGTTATTATTGCTTGTTCAGAGATGTATTTTCCTGTTTCATTTCACGTGACAAAATTAAGTGGGTGTGAATGTTAAAATCAGATAAACGTTGCTTTTACAAATTCTGTAAGCTTTTAACAGTGACATAGGTCTCAAGGGGCTGTCTTAGTTTTAACCCCTTTTTTTTAAAGGTGTCATATTCAACTCTTTAAAACAAATAAGAAGGAGAACGTATACCAGTTTGACACTTGCATTTCTACCTTAATTTCTTTGCAGAGGATTGTACATTGCCATAACAGATAAGGGCCACATCCGGTCTGTTGTAAACAACTGGCCAGAGAATGATGTGAAGGTACGGAGTGGGGTTTCTTTTTTCATGTGGACTTTGTATACCAGGGATCACCAACCTTTCGGATCTCAGGGACCACTAAATTCATAATTTTAAATCCCACGGACCACTAGTATAATCTGCCTAATGACTGGCTGGGTGGGCGTGGTTAGGTAGTCATGTGACTGGGTGGGTGTGGCTAACTAGATGTCACTCATATCGAGGGGCGCCTCGGCAGCTTTTACTCGCCCCTCCCCTCCCAGCCACTCCTTGCCTGTCTGGCTGGGCTTCTTGCGGCCCCAACAGGAAGCAGTAGTTGGAGCCGAGCAGCCACCAAGAGAAAGAGTTGGCAAAACAGCTCATTTCAAATTGGATCTGACCGAGAAGGAGATTCAGTAGAAGCACCTCACTGAGGACTACGAGCATAGGCTTTCCAAGCAGAGGGAAGACCTGTGGCAGTGCAAGGCCAGGGACCCACGCCTGGAGGCTCAGCGGGCTGAGATGGTCAGCCAGTTTCAGGCCATGATGCAGTCCCACTGGAACAAGGCCCTCCGGCTCTTCACCACCAGCGGTGCTTCCCTCCAGCCTTCGCCCAAAGCCCCCCACATGGAGGCTGAAGCAGACCCCAAGTCGTAATTTCTGCCCCCCCCTGCCCCCTACAAAAAGACCCCGAAGATGGAGACTCTCTGCAGCAACACAAGCGTTCATTGCATGTATCCGTCCCAGGGGGCGTAGTTTGAGGACCCCTGATTTAGTGCAATATTAAAAATGCAAATAATTTTTCTGTGGACCACCAACATTTTCTCCAGAAGTTGTGGACCACCAGTGGTCCACAGACCACCGGTTGGCGACCGCTGTTCTATAGTACCAATAGTCTTCCTTCGGTGTGAATAGATGGGGGGTATGCTTGCAAGCTAAACTATGAATTCTCCGTCATATTGTCTTTCCTTCTTCATGTGATCTGATGTAGTTCTGTGTCCACTTTTGTCCTTCAAGGCTGTTGTCGTCACAGATGGGGAACGTATCTTGGGCCTTGGGGACCTGGGAGTATATGGGATGGGAATCCCAGTTGGCAAACTCTGTTTATACACCGCCTGTGCGGGAATAAAACCTGACAAGTGCCTTCCTGTATGCATCGATGTTGGAACTGACAATCAGGTAAGTTGTAAGTTGTTACATGTTCTACACCCATTAGATACCAGTTGCTTGTCTGTGGTATCCATGGTTGGGTGAGATGCTATAGAGTGGGAGTTTGGCTAGATGACCTTGAAGGTTCCTTCCAACTCTTGCTACTACAGGTAGTCCTCGACTTACATCAATTCATTCAGTGACCACTGAAACTTAGCAACGGCATTGAAAAGAGTGACTCATGGCCATTTTGCATAGTTACAACCTTTGCAGGATCCCCATAGCCACATGATGCTTAGCAAGCGACTCACATTTATGACGGTTGCAGAGCCCCAGGCTCATGTCATCACCATTTGCGAGCATCTGACGAGCAAAGTCAGTGGGGAAGCGGGATTCACTTAACAACCATGTTACTAACTTTATCTGTTGCAGTGGTTCACTTCACAACTGTGGCAAGAACGGTCGTAAAATGAGGCAAAACTCATTTAACAAATGTTAAACTCAATTAACAACAGAAATGTTGGGCTCAATTGTGGCCGTAAGTCGAGGACCACCTGTATTTTGGGTAGCTTTACTAAGTTTTTCAAGTTCCACTAGAAGTAATCCGTTGGCATGAGACCATTTGTTTAACCATGGTTCAAAGGTATGATGGCCTCAAAAAAAGTGATTTACGACCCATCCTCGAAGTTACCACATTGTATCATCCACTCGGTGACACGATCACTATTCCAGTGGTTGCAACATCTCAAGGTCACAGGATCACAATTTTGACTTTCCCGGCAGGCTTCCAAGAAGCAAACTCAATTGGGAGAGTGCTGTGGCCTGTCGGTTGCCAGTCCCCCCAGCAGCCGAATCAGAAGCGGGAGTGGCCTGGGAGTCAGGGCGAGCATCAAGGCAACCTGGGAGCTCCAAGGGGGAAGAGGGAATGGAACTGTCAGAGACAGAGGCAGAACCTTGGCTGTCCATCAGCCCACAGATGGAGAGTCAACAGCTCCCAGGTCTGGAGGTGGCTGAGGAGAAAGAGGAGGAACAGCTGGGTTTAGTGCCTGACGCATAGATGCACAGAAGACAGAGGAGAGGAGAGCAGTGGAAATCTATGGGCCGGTCCTTGGGCTGGAAGAACCATTGCTGCTAGCAAAGCCCCACCCTAACTCTAGGGTTAAAAGGCAGGGGGTGGAGATGAATAGATGTGGCAGACAACTATCCATCTCCCTGCTGGATAGACGTGTGTGTGTGAGAGAGAGACTTTTTGCCGGGGCTGCTGGCGCTCCCAATAAAGGGAAAATTTATTTAACTACAAAGGATTTGCCATGTTTGGGAGTTGGGTCAGAACAAGGAGTCAGATTTGCTTAACGAGTGCATGTTTTTCTTAATGGTCACATGATTCCATTAACAACCTCAATAATTCTTTTAATAACCCCAGTAAAAATAATGTAAAAACCGGGCCTGATCAGGTGATGACTCGCTTCATGACTGTATCACTTAGCGGCCACAATTCCAGTCTCAATTGTGGTCGTAAGTCGAGAACTTTCTGTGCCAGGAAAGGCTTTTCAGTATGTCCTGCAAATATCCATGTTTCCTAGGAGTGTGTTGTGGCCCACCAGCAGCCAGCAGAGCTGGCAGCAGAGTCAGACAATGAAGAGGTTGGTGAGGAACATGGGCCAGTCCTGGAGTCTGGGGAAGGCTCTGAGGAGGGCTCTGTGTCGGAGGCAGAGAAGGGGCCAGGGTCGTATGCCAGTTATCAGCCGCCTTCAGAGTCAGACATCAGTGAGGCAGACGAACAGCTGGAGCCTATTCCCAGTGTGTGCATGCGCAGAGTTGCCAGACGAAGGGAACAGCTAAAGAACAGGGGTGGACTTGGGAGTAAGGCTACAGGTGGACGATGAATGGCCCCTCCCAGAGGAAATAAAAGAGGAGCGAAAGGGGAGTGGAGTTTGCAGGAGACCATTAGTTCGTTTAATTGGTTGGTGACTCTCCGAGACTCTTTGCCAAGTTTTGCAGATATCGGCCTGGCAGCTCTCCAAGGCAGATAAGTTCTG